TTTTTTTTTTTTTTTTTTTTTTTTTAATAGTTCTTACATACTGGTTGGGGATTGTCTTAGATTTCTCTAAGAATACAGGTGAACCTGACATTCTTTATATTCTCAAGAGCTGTGTAGTTCTCTCCTGTTCTATTTCTAGACCATCTTGGGGTTTATCACTTTCTGGCTGGATTCCAAATCCTACTATATGAGTGTCCAACGATTTTGGGACACTGAGAGTCCCTAATTTTCTCACCCTTTTCTATATTCCAGGATTTCATTTCAGATGGTCCTTTAACTTCTGGGCTCCTCATACCTGGCTGGGTGGCCTGGGCTCAGATCCTCCCAATGTAAACTGAGTTAGGAGTGGATCTCAGGGTCCCACTGGCTCTATCTGTGTAATCTCTGCTTGATATTTTATCACTCTTGCTAAAAACTTCTAAAATAATAAATAAATCTCTCCTACTTAAATTGCAGGTGCTGAGTGCAATGTCTCAGCAAAGGGAACATGACTGAGACAGATTTTGGTACCAGAAGTAGGTTTGTTCCATGTCTATACCTGATCATGCAATTTAGAAGCCTTTGGAACTAGATTGCTAGAGGAATTTGGAAAGGTTTTGTGATGCCATAGAGTGCTATAAGCGGAAATTGATAGGAGATTCTGGTTGGAACTCAGAAAACCAGAATGCTGATTATAATGCAGATTATAAAATGCAGGTTTGGGAAGTTTTGGTTGAGTATAAGGACTCTACTGGCATTTGGATTCAAGACTATTAGTGTTTTCCTCTGGGAGAAAACTAGTCTGTTCTGTTTGTGTCCTGTGCCTTTGCAGGAGACTGAGATTAATAGTGGCAAAGTAATTATTCTGATGAAGGAAATTTCAGTGCAGCCTAGTGTTCAGGCTGTAGCATGGGTACTGCTTGTCATTTGGGGTGAGATTTACAGTGAAAAACAAGAGCAAAAAGAACATTTAAAAAGTTTTCCATTTTACCAGAAAGGAACCTTCTGCAAAGTTGGAGCAAAGGAGAGCATGGCGGCTGAAAATATTAGCATTAAAAAAACCCAACCAAACAAGCAAAAGAAATAAGTACTTTACATCGGGACAATAGGAAACGTGGCTTGAGGGCATCTCAAGAACCAGTAAGACTTTGACATTGCTCTTTGCTTCCTGGTGGCCATGATGTGCATAGCTTTCCTTTGCCATGCTGTTTCTGCCTAGGAACGAGCTCACCATGAACTGTAACCATGAGCCAAAATCAGCCTCTTTTCCTCCTTCAAGTTGTGGGTGTTGGGTCTTGTGTCTCCGTGATGAGAAAATGAAAAAGACAGAGGCTTTTTCCTTAATATAATTCAAACCAATGGAAGAGCAGAGTTTATTACTTGTTGAAATCTTTTTATAGGAGATGGTAAAGTTTTTCTCTTTTCTATATGGAACATGTTGCTCTGTTTTTAAAAACTTGTCTGTTTGTAAGTTTCAACCAATAAATGTGTTTTTATGCTCAGTTGATTAGTGTGTTCATGTGGCTTTTAACCTAGATAGAATGCGTTTCTTTTCCCACAACTCGGCAAGGCTGAATTAATACAGGTGAATACCAGCAAGGGAACTGCAGTGAAATTATGAACACTGAAAATTCTGCTACTGTGGAGTCAGTACTTTAAATTCTTTTGATTAGATTTTTTTTTTGAAAGCAGAAAGCTTGGGCAGAGCAACTGAAAACTGCAGGTGCAAATGAATGAAACAAGAACAAGGGAAATGGGAGGAAACAGAAGTCAGGAAATGCCATGGTCCCAGGCAGTTGGCATTAAGAGTAAAACTTCTCTGATTTAGAAATTTAAAAAGTTGTAGGAAAATTCATAGATTCCAGATCAAGTCAATCACTGTTAATGGGAACAAAATTTCTTTTTGGGGTGATGAAAAATATTCTAAAATTAGATTGTATTCATGGTTGTACAATGCTGCCAATATACAAAAATCCTCTGAATTCCATCCCTCAAACAGGAAATTTTATGCTATGTGAACTATATCTCAACAAAATTCTTGAATAAAATCAAGTCAGTCATATATTTGCCAAAATAATGGGAAAAACCTCTTAGTTAATTTTTTTAAAATGTCTTGAGAATGTCTTGTGCCTCACATTTTATGACAAAACTGATAACTTTGACTTTTGAGAACTGGTAGTGTTTCTAATGTTTAAAATGTGTGTTTCAATACTCTTTTATAGTATCTTATTGGGTTAGAAACATACTATTGTTTTGTTTTGCAAGATATCTTTTTATTTTTCCCAGTATTTTATTAATACTATAGTATCTTCTAAGTAAATATTAGCATGGGAAAATAATAGTCAACATGTCTACTATCTGTAGTGCACTAGAAACAGGGCCAAGTACTTTGCGTGATCACTATTGGTTTTTTTTTGCTATCAGCAACTGGTGCTTGGAAGGGTTAAGAAATTTGCTGGAGGAAACCCTAATATGGTGGGTGGTGGAGCACGGACAGGAAACCAGGTCCTGTGGCCAGAGTCCATGTAGGACTCAGGTGGCTCCTGGGAATCACACATGAACTTGGGTATATAACCACATATCCTTCACCTATTTAGTGAGAGGATGGGGTACTAAGGTTTTTTATGGGTAAATCTACTGTTGACTCTTGTGAAACAAGTGGCTGAACCACTGAGCTAAATCCCTGACCCTACTGGTGACTCTTAATCCATTTCTTTTCTTGCCTTTTTAAAATTTTTATAA